AGAGTAAATTTGGAAATTTTGGGAAGTTATGCTAAGTATAAGTTTTGGGTGAACTTCAAATGACCATAAATTTCAGTTGGCTAAGAAGATATCAAATGAATTGAAATACTCTTTCCAACATTATCGAGTTTGCTAATTTTTGAGTACGTACTAGGGATATATGCCCATTTGAAGATCGATTGTCTATTTAAGGAAAGTTACCCAAATTTAAGAGGGGTATTTTGGTATTTTCTTTATCCAATCAACCTAATTCATTTTTAGTATTTAATTAGGGTTGTAAACTGATTTGGTTAAGTTTACGCAATTCAAAATTAACGCCTAGGGTTTGAGCATAGTTCAAGAAGATAAGAAAAAGACAAAATCAAGGCGTTCTTGGAGATTTCTTGCGGAACCAAAGGTCGTTTCTCCAAGGGTTGATCCCTAAAGAGGTAAGTGAGTTCGCATAGCATTGGGTTTGTTTATCCACGCGCCAATCATGTTAATTTCAGCGTATTTCTTACTAAAAAGTTGAAGATTTGATGTTCTTGAGTTGTGTTCTTGAAAGTACCTTCATTCTTGAACTTTGATGGAATTTATCAGTTTCTTGAGATAGTCTTATAGATTTTAAGAGTTGTTTCGAGTTATATTCTTGGATACATGTATTGGGTAACCGAACCTAAAGAGAAATTGAGAAAAAGAATCAAATTTAATCGAATTAGCATTAGAAAACAAGTTAAAAATTTCATCGGAAACACTTGTGGGAGGTCAGGCACTACGTGCCACTGATGCACCAGTTGGGCTGGCGTGGCGTGCCAGCACTGTGCCATTTTGAGGTCTCTAAACTTTAGGGGATGGTGCCCCATGCCAATAGTGCGCTGGGTCACCTACCCGCACCAGTTTTTCGTTATTTAGCCCCGTCTGATTCCTTCTAAAGTGTACTAACACTTCCTACAGATTCTAACTACTCTATATGTCTTCTAAGTATCTAGAAATCATTCATAAACATGAATCATAACCTTGAATCCATAAATTCAAATTCAAGGAATGTTAAGAGAGAAGTCTAACTAGTTCTTAGAGTCTTTTCAAAAGTCTTTTACAAATGCATTAAACTTTTTTTAATACTTGAGCATTAAGTTAAGTAAGAGTAAGAGTAAAGTTCAGTTTATTTAACTGATTATATGAGAACTAAGTATTCCCAAATAGTAAATGTTTTCATATTTAAACAAGACAGGAAACACCGTTTTCCAAGAGAGCTTTTGAGCTAGTCTTTGAGTAACAATCTCAAACCATAGAGAAAGAGTTATGTTTTTAAACATATGAGTTGAGTATATTTTGGGAGTAGTATTAAGCATCGATGGGCACGAGTTCATAATAACTCAAGTATCTATAAACCGTGTATCCAACGTGGGTAGAAAGTATTAAATATTTTAGTTGATTACTTAATGCTTTCAAGCATAGTTTAGTGGATCCACTTAATTGAGGTGTTCTATATCTCGACAAGTTATAAGACAGTTCTAACAGCGTGTGGTAGACGTATCATCACATATTTCATAGTGATGGTTGTCGGTTAGAGAATCTCCTAAATAGAGATATTATTGTATTTTTCAATACTTCGAGATGTTATCTCCTATTTTAAATGCTTTATACAAACTACATTTTTATTGTTGTTTTATTTCTACATTGAGTTGAGTATTCATGAGTTGAGCAAAGTTGAGGTAAGTATTTCTTTCACATTCCAGTTCAAGCTTACATTTTGTTTAGAATTCCCCTCGCATGCTTGTACATTCAATGTGTCAGCGCATAAGTTGTTTGGGGGGAAGGCACCGAAGATGAAGTTAACCACTCATAAAGACCGTCTCTACTCTGACCGTGGACTAGAGGAGTATTGTTTTCGGGTCCTTGACACAAAAACAAAACGGAAAAAGTTCAACTGAGGTTAGAATATCTTGACAAAATTTAGAAACGGAAAGCAAGTTATGCTTAATGGTAGGTGCACATAGAGTATTAGAAAGCTCGAAAGCATGATTCGATGCATGTAATTGAGAAGAACCAGTGTGAGTTATGGGGATTTTGTTACCATCTCCCCATGGAGACATGCTCCATGCCATTGTATGCCTGAAAGTTGTCGGGTTCAACAATGATATGATGAGATGCGCCAGAGTCGACAATCCAAGAATTGCTGGTGCCTGCAATTCTGAAACATAGTTGACCTTTGCCTCAAAATGATTGTGAGATTTTGATCTACACACGCTTGCAACATGACCTGGTTTGTTGCACAATTGGCAGCATACACCATCATAAGATTTTATGGTGGTGGAAGATCGATACTGATTGGGTGTAATAGAGCGATTGTTGGACCACCATTGTTGGTTGCTTCCATTGTTGGGCCGACAAGTGTTCCAAGAATTGGATTTACCAGACCTTGTAGATGTGGCAGCTGTAGTAGTAATCTGGTTGGGAGCGTGCTTGGTTTCTTCATGGCGAAGGAAAAGCTCATGATCCAATAGCTTTTTGTAGAGTTCTTCATAAGAGATAGTGGAGTCATGGGCACGGATCGAAGCAGAGATCTCACTAAACTCTGAACCCAAACCACTCAGGATCTCAACAATAAGTTCTGAGTTGGTAATTGGGGCACCAGTTTTAGAGAGTTCGTCAGAAATAGAGCGAATATGTTGCAAATATTCGGTGACTGGTTGGGAGTCCTTTTTAAGGCGCGTAAGGCGATCACGTAAACTAAAAAAATGCAAGTTTGGGACTTATTTGCATAGGTTATGTGCGATATATCCCATCCACCATCGTCAAAACCTCCTATTCTGTTTGTGTACTCTCGTCGCTCCACTCCAGCAGCAACCATATACATAAGGGTCATAAGAAAGCTCCAATATGTGTCTTTCACTCATCAAAACATTTCTTTTGCTGTAAACAAACTGTCACAATTTATGCAGACTCCCTCCGAGATCCACTAAAAAGCTGTCAAACGGGTACTCTGATATCTTCAAGGGACTGCTCATTTCGGCATACGGTTGATGCCCCATAATGCTTTCTCTTTAAATATGTACTCTGATGCGGATTGGGCTGGAGACGTCAATGATCGAGCTTCTACTAATTGATACATTCTGTTTATTGGCCAAAACCCTGTGAGTTGGTCCTCCAAAAAGCAAAGAACGATTGCTCGCACTTCCACTGAAGCTGAATATCGGGCAGTTGCAAGAGCTCTTGAGGAAACAACAATTCTTCTCGTAGAACTGAGACTTACATTTCAAAAAGTCTTAACTATCTACTGTGATAATGTTGGTGCAACGTATTTATGTGCCAATTCTGTTTTACACAGTCGCATGAAACATATTGCGGTGGATTTCCATTTTTTGAGTAATCAGGTTCAGCTTAAGCAAGTTCAAGTTGTCCACATACAATCTGCAGAAGAAGAATTATTTTTTATTGATGAAATGGAAATATATACACGATGATCTAACTATTTCTTATACTAACTCCACAAAATGGGGAGATAATCCTAAGCCTTAACACTATTAGAGACCTAGTCAAATTAGAAGAGTAGTAGTGGACTAATGGTAAAACTCAACAATAACTAATGAATAATAAAACAATAATTAACTAATACTATCTGACAGTTGTACAAACTGTTGAGTTTTATTTACCCTAAATTTCTTACCATATATAGGTTTTCCTTTTAGGAAAAGGTTTTGGATTGACTAATCTTTTTTCTGGTAGGAAAAGGTTTAGGACTCTATAAATAGAGGATGGTCTTGAGAGAATAATTAATTGCTCATTGGTATTGTCTTTGAAAGACATTAGAACCTAAGAGAGGTTTTTGAGAGAGCTTTCAACAAGAGAAAAAGAGAGAAAGAAAAGGGTTCTTTTGCTGCAGTCTTTTCTCCGACCAGTCACGTTCAGATCGTGTTTCCCGATTAACTAACCGTTGGATCGGGCTGAAATTATGACTGAGTGTCCCTGGCAACTTGGTGTTCTTTATTGTTAGATTTTTGGTTTCATTTTTTCGTCATAACAAGTGGTATCAGAGCCAGATTCAATGATAAAGTCAGGTTCAATGGTTCGATAATCAATTATTGAACCAGGTTAGAAAGAGGTGTTCATCTTGGCGGGTGTAGTTCTAGCCACAACCTTTTTGACAGTAATGAAGATTTTGTTGGAGAAATTATTTCAGAGAGGTTTTCTGTGTTGAGACATAAATTTTGCAAAGGAGATTTTGGAGAGGAGAAGTAAGTTGTTGAAGATTAAGTAAAGAAGGTGGACAAATTTATTTTGTCAGAAATTCAGGCCAAGGGGGAGATTTGTTGGGTTTTATTTGCCCTGATTTCTTACCATAAATAGATTTTTCTTTTAGCAAAAGGTTTTGGATTGACTAATCTTTTTTTAATAGGAAAAGGTTTAAAACTCTATAAATAGAGGAATGTTCCTTCTAACTTAATCAGCATTCACAATGTAGTCTTAAGGGCTTTGAGAGTTTTGGTTAGGAGGAAAATTTATGGGTCACAAGTTTGATACGTTATCACTTGTGTGAAACCTCCCGTGTATTCCGAGTGAATTGGTTGAGGTTGTTTCCCTCTGTATTTTGTACTCTCATATTTATAGTGGATTGCTCGTCTCCTTTGTGGACGTAGGTCGATTGACCGAACCACGTTAAATCTTTGTGTCTTTTGGTATATTTCTCGTTGTCTTCTTACTCGTGGTCTTTTGAGGCTTGTGTGAACCTCCCATGTATTTCGAGTGAATTGGTTGAGGTTGTTTCCCTCTGTATTTTGTACTCTCATATTTATAGAGGATTGCTCGTCTCCTTTGTGGACGTAGATCGATAGACCGAACCACGTTAAATCTTTGTGTTTTTTGGTATATTTCTCGGTGTCTTCTTACTAGTGGTCTTTCGAGGGTTGCTTTGCTACCTTCTGCGTTTACACCTGCTTATTTTCGATCCTAACACAAAGTAACTTATGTGCTGATACAATGTACTGAATCCATTAGGTCTGCATTGTTTTATGATGCAGATAAAAGCAGGTAAGATCAACCTCCAACGATTCGTTGACAGTTGAATATTTCAGAGTCATTTGGTGAGCCTTCTTAATTTCCGGAGGATCCCTTTTTATATTTCTTTATCATATCAGTTATTAAGATGATCAGATCTCTTATCCTGATATCCCTCATATTATTAGAGGCTTCATTCACAGATAATTATAGTTCATAGTCTTTTCATTTTCATTCTGTTTATGTTGAGACTTGAGTTGCTTTATGGACCCATTGAATGTTTCTTTACAACATTTTAGTTTATTTCATGAATTTATCTTTGTTGAGTAAAGTCTTCCTGCTGACTATTAAACCACGCCAGGAGTTTGCTTGGGGCAGACAATGGTTCTCAAGTGTTAGTTTCATCCAAGGTGTAGGTTTGGGGTGTGACACATAATCTATTCATATGTATATACAATTTCTATACTAATTTCTACAATTTCACCAACTCGCAAGGTTACGTTGATAATATAATCATGGTCGCCCAAGTGTTAAATTGTCTACCCAGATTAGCCTCTCACCTAGCTATGACCTATATTGTTAATTGATGATGGCCATAACTAATCTGAATGCTTTTATATCTCATGTATGGGAGCCAATTAGGATAAATTATGTGATTTTTTCCCATCTGCCTAAGTTTAATTCGTGGAGTTACCCGGTAGAGAGGTTTGGAGTTTGATGTCTAGCACATGTGTCCAACTTTAAATAAGGGAGATTTTTTAGGAAATTTTTCCGATGTTTCTATTGATGGACGATGTATATATACATATTTATATTTATATATATATATATATATATATGTATATATGTATATATATATATATATATATATGTATGTATATATGTATATATATATATATATGTATATATGTATATATGTATATATGTATATATATATATATATATTCATCATCCCCATGTACTTGAAGCTTTTTATTCAGTGTACACCTAAACTTTATTTTGTTTCAATTACGCCCCTGAACTTGCTTATTCATCGAACACGTACACCTTTATGTCCACTCACTACGATCGTGTCCACACGCGCACGACACCTAGATAAATATTTTTGCCACCTAGTTAAATTTTTTGCCACCTAGATAAATATTGTCACCTAGATAATACCAACCTTCACAATTCACAAATGAAACTCTCTCTTAGCAGGTGAAAATCCATGTAGGTATTTACCAAAAACTGAATCTTTCAATGAAATTCTCGATATTCTTGGTCGTATGAGACGTTTGATGAACTCAACCAAGTATGTCTAAGAGAGGAAATTTGGTTAATTAAAAAACTTATGGTATTTGATTAAGAGATATGTTGCAGCTCATACAGTTCAAGATGCAAAAAAGTTTTTCTATAAGAGGAAAATTTTTGATTTGGAACTTGATGGATTGTGTTTCAAGAAGAGGATTCCCGAAGCCCTTGAGAAAAATCTGAAATTTGAAAAAGGAGAAGAGATAAAGAAGAATAAAATGAAAAACATAAAAGATTATTTGGATCATTGTTCCAATGTATGTCAGCCTTTCTGCTGGAACCAGCAATTGGGCAGAAGCAAAGGCCGTGCTTTTTGGCCTTAAATGGTGCATTGAATAGCTAGAGAATAGAGAGAGAAAAATTCTTAAAATAAGCCAAATATTAAAGAAAAAATAGATTTTTTACGTATATTACCGTGGTAACTTTATGATGTGGCAAAAAATCGCCGTCTCACGCGCTTTGTAGAGTTTAATTTCAGTTTCTATGCCAGGTGGACAGAAAAGGTTTACGTGTTCGATGAATAAGCAAGTTCAGGGAGGTAATTGAAACAAAATAAAGTTTAGGTGTACACTGAATAAAAAGCTTCAAGTACAAGGGGGTAATGAATACTATATATATATATATATATATATATATATATATATATATATATATATATATATATATATATATATATATATATATATATTAATTTGGTGGGGTTCAATTAGTAATGGGTGGGTAGAAGATTGTGATTTATAAATTATACTAACAAGTTAAATTATAACAAATAGTTGTGCGCTACGTATTTAAAAAATATTTAAATAGTTTAAATTTAAAACCGTTAAATAAGTGGTCAATTTTGAACTTAAAGGTGGATCACAAGGGTATTTTGGAGCCAATAGGTGGGTGTGAAGGGTATTTTGGAGCCAATAGGTGGAAGGAGGGTAATTTTGTACCATTTTCAATACTTCGAGGATAGTTTAGGCCTTTTCCGTTTAATTATTCCACTTCTTGTTTTTCTATTGTCATTAGTTGCTTACTGCTTGTGTTGTGACTTTCTTAATTTATGGCTTTATGCTGCAACTCTAGTTTCTGGGAATCTTGAAGTTGTAAAAATGAAGCAGAACTATTATGATAAAAAAATTATTAACAGAAGTAGTAATGACTTGTAAATCACAGATCTTATACTGTCTCCAGCTTATAACTTTTCTCTGGTCGTTTTGTATTTATGGTTCTCACAGCTCAAAGTTGAATTTTTCTGTATTTATCTAAATATTATCAGATATTAAGATTGTGATATGGCATATCTACCTTGCACTGATTGAAATTTTACGGTTATGAGCAGTGGTGTCAATGCCATCTCTTTCCCTTCACATGGTTCATTCATTTAAACGGCTGGTGCTTATGTATTGGTTTGCAAAAATTGATTCCATGTCGGGGAATTTACTACACAAGTTTAAAGCTTCCACTAAAGCAATACCACCCTGTGAGTGTCACTATGTTGCTTGGACTCTCCAAAAAGTTGATACAACCTGTGTAGGATCCTCCAAAGATGCACTATACTTCCGCTTCCAGGTTTGAGGTAAATCCTTGTTGCTTTTTATCTCCTGCAGCCTCTCTGAAATTGTTAGTTAGGTCATTCATTGTAGGTGTTGGAATCTAATTACTAAAGGCTAAAATTTCAAATACTTATAGCATTAGATTGATAGAGTATTTCGAAAACTTTTGAAGAAATTTGGACTCCAAACCTACTTCCAGTAAAGGACTCATTCTAGTGAAAGTTCACTCTCTGGTTGATAAATTTTACTTGAGTTATCTTCTTATGATTATGGATTTTGTTTTCGGGTACAAAGATAATTTTAATATTGTTAAAAAAAAATAGGCAGTGAGTTATTTCTTGGTCTTAAGTTAGTATACTTCTCGGTAAAGAATGGAATGAACAAATTGTATTAGTAGGTTAAAATTGCTAGGTATATGAACTTATTAATTTGTTCATAGCACGAATAGATATGATTTGACAAATGAAGAGTTAATCATGAAACCACGAGAGTTGGGTATATCTACATTTATTATGAATTAGCTTGAAACAAGATTTTAACATGAGATCGATATGATGTGATTATCAATTGAACGAGGAAGGCGTACAAATTGCTTGAGGTGACAAGTTTTGTGTTTCAATACAAGTATTGTGAGTAGTAATATTACCATAATTGATGTTTTACAAGTTGCATGATTTTCGCATGGTTTATAAAGTAAATGTGTTACTCAAAGTTTTGAACTAACATGTGGGACAATTCTTTTACTGGATATGATACGGAAAAGATTATTTGAGATGATCTCATTTTTACAAGATATGATTACTGGTATTGAAAAAAAATTTACACTTACTTGAGAAATAGTATTTTGAAGATGATTGTTAAACTTTGAAATGATATGATTTGATCAGATTTAAATGGTCTATTCGATTTTGAAATGCTTCTAATGATTACAAGAAAAATATAAATAGGAGAAGACCTTGATGAATCCCCTAGCTAACGGCTGGATCGTTAGACCTGGTGTACCTTCTAGTTATTGATTTCTGATAAAGCCCTTGCTAGTGAGAATGTGGAACTGGTATATTGTTACTGATATCCCTCGAGTAGGGATCTACCGATATGAATATTTAACTACTTTACGAGGAGTTCACTATTATTGGTTACTTCTTAAAGAGAAGACCACTCTGATTACATGATTCATCCTTGGAAACCTCCCAAATATAAGATTTGATATGAAAATCTTTTTCTGCGTTTACAACTATATGATTTGATATGGAAAGATTTCTCTGAGTTTACTATTAACTATTTACATTGTTTTTGTTTATATGAGGCACAAAAGATTGAATATTGTTACTTTTTCTGAAAGAGCATTATTTCATCGTTATGATTATTATACTAGGATTAAGTGTTATTACTCACTGAGCTAGCGTCTCACTCCTCGTTGTAATTTTTTTTACAAAGAATACAGGTGACTTTGGTAAGGCCTAGAGGTTTCGAGTTGATAATTTCCAGTGAGTCCCGCACTTGTTCGCGTGGATAACAAGTTTATTAGTTGTTATAGACATTTGTCGGAATTCTTAGAGTCGCTCCATAGTCATCCCTTTATTAGAAGTTATGGGTATTAATTCGTAATGTAAACTTATGTCTAGTATGAGACTTCTTATGTTTTTGAAGTTGGAATTAGTATATTAAATTTTCGAATTGTCTATTGATTAATAAGGTGGATTATTGATGAAACTTGTTGGTTGCGTTATTTGTTTTTCCTATTGGTAATTTCTAGATAGACCCAAAAACAGATGAAACTCTACCCAATTTATTGTAGATTTCTGGTTAAGGCTTGCTTTGGAATCCTTCCCCTTAGCACCGGTCACGATTCTAATTTGGGTCGTAACACTATCGACATTTTTAAGAGTCCAAGAAACATAGCTTTTATATACATCTTCTGTTTTATTTTTGTATGTTTTTCTCTCAATATGAGGGACATTTTCTTTCTTCTGCTGTTAGTGATAGACATGTAGCAATTTGGAAGTTAAATGATAGCAAAAAAGAAAAAAAACATGTTGTTTGCATTCAATGGATCATCCTGATGTTACCACATTATAATTGGAGATGAAAATAATGGAGTTTTTTTGTCACAAACATTCTTATACTATACCTCAAACATAAACTACATCTTTAAACTATCATTCTTATAAAAAAAACATCCTTCAAGTATTTAAAAGTGAACAATTTCCATGCTTCTACTAGATATCGTTAAATAAAACTAACGGATCCAACAAAAACATGACCAGATCACATGACTATCAACAAAAATTTTCTTGCATAATTTCATTACTTCCTATAGAAGTTCCTGAAGAAAATATTATGAATGTTAAACATTATTGCTTACAGAAACAAAATTTTGGAAGGTGAAGATGCATGATTTCCTCTTTTTCGTATTTAGTAATGGAAAGAAACTGAAACTTAAGTATCGTTACTTTTTTTATAGCCAAAATTGTATTTAGATAATAATTTTTTGGGTCAATCTGATATCGAAATGATCAAAATATTTATGCCTCGCATATGAGTTTCATTCTACATAATTAGAAGCGCAAGCCTCTAACAAATGTCACTTCTAGCATATTCAATTGAGAAGAAACATATTTCAACTAATAATATATTTGATATCAAATTACACGAAAAATAAATGGAAAAAAAAACTTTCAAATTAAAATATTCTCTATAATGCTAAACCCAATCACCAAAAAAGGTCATAATAGAATTTTTGGTGTATCTAAGAATAATAATTACGAAGGGATGATTTGATTTTTATGGGATATGTTAGACTTGAAGCATAAAAATAATTCATTTCTAAATACTTGAAGGATGTTTTCTGCTAAGAATAATACTTTAAGGATATAGTTTTACTTTGGAGTATAGTTTAAAGATGATTTTGGGAAAAACTCAAAATAATGTGAGTGTAGGTGCTTTAACAGTAAGTTATGTTGATTCTTCAACATAACTAGGTAAATTATCCGCGAGAATAACTAGGTAAATTATCCGTGCTTCACGCGGTGGTGAACTACGTCAACAATCTACTTCTGAACATTTTATAATGTAAGTGTTTTTGAGAGGATACACCCCTACGATAACTTATCATGAATATTTATCCAAAGAAGAAATAAAATGTTTTTTAATCTTAAAATGAAAAAAGATTTGATTCTAAATGTTTATGAATTTTGTTACTAATTCTTCATTTTACTATAGTTGTTCATGACCAAACTCTTTAGAAAAGATATGTAACTGTTTCATTGTGTATATTTTGAAAAAGGGATACAAACATTTTATTAATTGGTTGCGAGAGTATTTCTCCTATTCACGACCTCTACATACAAAATCTTAATATTATACATCTTATTAAATTATCTTTTTACTTAATAAGTTAACAAAAATATAAAAACACATCTCTTGGAGATCAATGAAATAACGTATGTCGCTAAAATAATAGGATTAAATGATGTTTTGGCAAGTCCCTTATTTAAAATCATTCGCAGTCGATTACAGTACTTTGATACGCAAAGACATATAATGTTATTTATGTTTTGATCTATATGGTTAAAACTCTATTTATTGGGGACTTTTAATCTAAAATTTATAAGGAGTTAATAATTTCTTTAATATTTGATTAATATAAATTCATCCTACTTTGAGGGGTAGTTCATTGACTCAAACCCAATATTTGAACTCCAAACGTTTGTTTATGGTTGAGTACAATACTTACCTTCCCACTACATTCCTTTATATTTTGGAAGTCACTAATCTATTGAATGTCTCGGTAAGATAAAAAGTTGAATAAATAAAAATCCAAGGTAGTGTAGAACCACCATAGTTTTTGAAAACTCAATGTCCCTTCTTGGACATCTCATTGATGTTTTAGCCACTTAAAACTCTATAAAGATCAAAATCATTTATTTTACAAGTTTAAGAACTCTATTCTACACGATCACAATAGTCTAATGATTACATCAAACTCTTGACTAACACATATTTTCTTCAACTTAATGATGAAAAATATAAACATAAATAATAAAGTTTAAAACATGTACTCAAAAATAAAAATTAATGAAATAAGCATAAATTAATGACTGTAAAAAACCTACCAAGATGTGTAATAATAAAATGAAACCTAAAGGAAAAACTTGAGCCCACTGAATGGACTTTATTCCCTTAAGGAAATTATTTCATTCTAATACCTGAGTTTTAAAGGGAATAGATCCTCCCAGGAAAAAACAATTCTATGCACCTATGTGTTGATACAAAAAAAAATGGTATCAGTAAGTCACTTAACAAGAGTAAAGTACATGAATATTTATTGAGCAGAAGAAGAAGTTCAGAATTTTCGTTCTTTCAAAATGACAGAAAATTACTCTATTTATAGACAAGAAAGGGTAGTGTGAATAAACACTTATTGTGTCTTATCTAAAGGTCATAACTCTTTGGTCAAGTCACAACATTTCATAAAAGTCACATTTTTTCATAAAAGTTGCAACTCTTCATTAAAGTTGTAACTGTTCAGAAAAGTCGCAACTTTTTGTAAAGTTGCACCATTTCATAAAAAACCACAACTTTTCATAAAAGAGGAGGCTAATTTTGAAAATAATTAAGTTAAAAGAGAATCCTGATTTGTGGTGGCACCACATAGGCGAGCCTAGGGTTCCCTTTTATATAAATGTATGATTCTTTCTATATTTTCAGTATATGCTTCGAGAGTCGCATTACTCTTTCCAAATATTTACTATTGAAATCTTGATAATCCAAATTATGATAATCACGATAATATATTATGTAAAAAGAAATCAGTAATAGATTTTTATTTTAATAGCCTTAATAGCTAATCTTTATATTTATATTAACGATTGGTCATTACTTCTGTTTCAAATATGAATGTTGCAATTGGTATTTGTAATATTTTTCCATCATTACCTATCTAATTTACTCTCCTTATGATCATTTTGAGTTTTTTCACACCTATATATGCTTATTGTATATTCTCTCTTTGGGGAGAAAAATAGAAGATATAAACATATTAATTTCTCATTTGTTTAACTTTTGTATATATAAGAAGATCTTGTTGAATACAAGTATACAATAAATGAAATATCTTTAAAGATAGTATTTTTGATCTGTCTGAAGTGTTGGAGATTTTTATTTTTTTTTAAATTTAAAATTTGTACTCAAGATCAATCTTATTAATTAAATAACTGGGCCAAACATCATTAACAAAAGGTTCGACCTGATCGGCCAAATTGGCAAAACCAAGTTGATAAAGACACTACCCTAATACTAGGGTTTTCTAAATGAGCTAACCTTTTCTCCTTTCTTTCTCTTCCTCTCCTCTTTCTGAGCTTGCCTCTTTCCCAGTGTTTGTCGTTGTCTCATTGCTCCAACTTGATGTTCCTCCTTCTTTATGTGATAAACATCCTTCATGTCGGACTTTTCATGGATGCTTCAAATATCATCTATCAAAGGTATGCCTCGTTCTTTCCATGTTGAGTTCTTGCTCCTTCTTCACAGTTGACAATGTTCTCTTTGTAGGTGCGCTGTCTGGTTAGTAATATGATAGTATGTGCCTTGTGCTTCCTCAATGCAAATGTGTGTAAGTGATTCGCTATTACCATCTTCCCTGTTGCTTTCATTTCTATTTTGGTTCTCTTTATTTTGCCAGTGAAGTAGAATATAAGAAGATTTTGTAGCTCCCCCGCTTCATCTTTTTGCTTAAAGCTTGTTTTGAAATAAGTTATGGCCTCTATACTCTCGCGTTTTTGCTGGTGCTTGTGTACATTTTTGTTGGTTGTCATAGGTTAGAAATATTATAGGTTTCTTAACAACTTTTTTGCTCTCAACATAGCTAATATCTATGTTAAGAGTCCTTCTTCACAAACTTGGTAACATAATGAAATTCTGAAATGTCTTTCTTGCTTCTTTATTTATTATTGAATTTTCTATGTAGTCTAACAATTGATTTGCTTCCCTAAAAATATGTGAAACATGTACTCTGATTTTCCCACCATGTTTTTCAATACTAGGAAATCAGATCCTAGATGAACATGATTCATATTTTTCCGGATGCAAAATTGTAGAGCTTCCTGCTCTAACCTCTTCGACCATATTTGTAGTTATCCCCATGTTCTTGGCCTCAACATAGATAAGATTACCTCCTCTATCCCATGATATAGTATTCCCTAAAATTTCTAACAAAATTTTGGGAGTAAGTTTTGAAAATTCATCTTCAAATATATGTTTGGCTGTGAACTTTGATAAGAAATATGATCTTCAAATATTTTCAAGTTCCCAAAAATTAGGTCAAAATAGTGTTAGAATTTATGAAACTCCCATTCACAAAACCTTTGAAAAACTCGAATATGAATGTCAACTTTGAAATCCATGACTAAATAAGAGTTAGGTACATAAATAAAGCACAACCCCTTCCGTCCCTCTCTCAACCACAGACACAAACCAAAACACAAGTATAAAAATTTGAAGCCACATTATTTCAGTGAGCAAGTATAAAACTTTGGTATTTCTCTTTTCAATGACCACCCCATTTAGTTTCAACTGTCCAACACGCCACCACAAGCCAAAGTTCTTAATCTAAGCTTCATTTCAGCAATGGGAACATCAAATATTAGGGGCATCTTGACTTGTTTCAATCACTCTTTGGACTTCATTGCTATCAACTCCGGTTTTGGCCATGTCAAGGTAATATTTTTTCCT